TTTTTCCGAGTAATATATTGTGCGGCCCGCTAATCTTTGTATTATTGTTCATGTTGCACAATGTACACGCCTTGCGTCAATTTGACAGTTTATTTATCGCAGTCGACGCTGATTGGTTAGCGTTTAGCAGATGCGAAAAGGGGATGATTGAATAAAACGCATGGTTCCGTGCAGGCTCACCTTTCTCCCAGTGAGCCTGTTCGCAGGCTACTATGACATTTGTCTATTTAACTCTACATAACAAAAACCCCACAACTAGGAACAACCGAAAATGCAGAACAGGCAGTAACTTACACCAGCCAAACATTACACTAGATATTTCTACAAACTATGCTCTTCAACCAGCAATCGAGGTAAATAGCAAACGACCTACCGTATTCTCTGATATTGCGATGTGCAGCATCGCGTAATATAATTTACTGTTTGTTGCATGAGAAGCCATATTTCAACGGGCTATGCATCGATGATATGCGCAAATTAGTAAGGAAATATATAAAATAATCATTTCTGTCATTTCTGGCCATGTGATTACAGATATCAATTATTATTATATATAACAAAGTTTAAAAATTATACTTCATAAAATCTTGCAGTCGCGGGGGGCTACTCGGTTGACAATTTACAACAACATTTTGCTTCCGGATATTTCATGAAATATAATTATACTTTAGTTAATTTATAGCCCACCGATGCTTTCATGTGTTAAAAAGGTACTGTTACAGCTTTTTTATACACAGTGTTTCAGGTATCGTTTAAAGGCTTTCAGAAACTATGGGGGATTGCCTTATTACCCCCTCCCCCGACCCTATACTGTCCACTACTGTGATACATGATTTATATGTTGTTATCAAGTATAATTTATATTGCTATCATTTTCCCAAAATCGAAACTGTATAACAATGCATATAAACAACATAAATGAATAAAGAACATCTTACCATAAACTTGGTAAATTAAGAATAATACTGTCTTGACATTGAGGATAACACGAAATGTACCCAATAGTCCCAACAAAAGCGTATACACATGACACACCAATCATGACAACATTAATTACAAGCGGTAACTGCTTCGGTTTCCTCGATTTATTTTCGACTGAAAGAATCTTAAAACAAAAAGGAAGGTATCATTTGCCAGATAAGGACTTGCATGATCTTTATTGATACGAAAAGGTAAATTAATTTTATAAACTCAACACCATAACGCACGATTATATTCCAAACCTGGATTACCTTTTTTAGATACACCTTGTAGATTCTACATGGTATATTAAATATTAAATACTGGTTACGTTCATAAATTACACAATGGACTAACTATGCATCCAGTTTACTCTGCCTGGCAAAACGTTTGCTATTTCCTCATTCAATTTTCATCCAAATTTAGTCTTTACTTTTCATCCAAATTTAGTTATCTGCAAAAATTTTTCACTAGGGCACTTTCTTTCCAGCAAAAGAGAGCGTTCATTCAAGAAACACTTTTTTCGTTCTTTAAATGGGGCATTTTAGTTCAGAAAATAAGGGCACTTTTTTCACTTTTAAAAAAGTGTGGGGCACTGGCCCCCATTGCTCCCCCCCCCCCTCTCCCCTGCCCACCCGGTTCCGCGACCCTTGCGTACAAACGCAGATAAACATATAACCTGGCGGAGGTAAGTAATCAGACGCACGAATGAATTTTGTAGATAGTGGGAAGTTCTTAAAAAAATGGCCCCTTATTCTTGCACGAAAATCAGTGGTTTAATTAATACCATCGAGGATTAAGTGATAGTCAAATCATATAGTTGTAGAGCTACAGGTTTCCCTTCGTTTCCCATGCAAGCACTTCTACAGGGTGTATAAAAAAAACTGAACAGATTTGAAATTGCGCTCAATTTCGCAAAACACCTATTTTTGTATCCGTTTTTTGTGGCTAGCCCGTTCGCGGGCTAGCCACAATGTAACGCTAAAAATGTTTGTAAGATATGTGAAGTTGTGACGGAGATTACATCATCGGCATCTACCGCCCAATATCCTTACTATCCCTTGTGTCTAAAGTCCTTGAGCACGCGGTCCACGCCCGAACCCTCTATATCGTCAAACCTCTACTCCACTCCCAACAACATGGCTTTCGTGCAGGGAGGTCCTGTATCACCCAACTACTCGATGTTGTACACAATATTGGCAAGGCATTAGACTGTGGAAAAGAAATTGACATGATATATTTGGACTTTTCAAAAGCCTTTGACTCTGTTCCCCACGATAAACTAATTGTGAAACTCCAACAATTTGGAATAACAGGACGGCTTTTGCACTGGTATAGCGACTATTTAATGGGACGAAAACAACGTGTTGTAGTAGATGGTGTTTCGTCGAGCTATCTTGATGTGACTTCCGGAGTTCCACAAGGAAGTATTGTCGGCCCCCTACTCTTCCTGGTCTATGTTAACGACCTCCCTGACGCTGCTAAACACAGCAAAGTACCCATGTTTGCCGACGACAGCAAATGTTATCGAGTCATAGAAACGTCACATGACACTCAACTCCTTCAGTCCGATCTGCACTCCCTTTGCAATTGGTCCTCTACCTCAGAATTGAAGTTTAATCTCAAAAAATGCATTGGAATCAGATTCTCCCGCAAACGTTTAATTGAGTCACCCGAATACAGTTTAAACCACGAACTGATAACCCTTAAGCCCTCCCAAAAGGACCTTGGAATAATAATTAGTAACAACTTAAAATGGTCACCTCAGATAACCAGTATCGTGTCAAAGGCAAATCAGATGCTTGGTTTTCTCCGACGTAATTGTATCCACCTGACTGATACGAAATGTCGACGCTCACTCTATCTGGCACTCGTGAGAGCTCATCTGTGTTATGGAAGTGAACTTTGGGCGCCTCAATCAACATCAAAGGACCTTCTCCGTATCGAAAGTGTTCAACGACGAGCGTCCAAATACATACTTCAAGATTACCACTCTTCCTACACTGACCGACTGAAACTTCTTAACCTTCTCCCTATTTCGTACTGGTATGAGATGAAAGATATTATTTGTTTCTACAAGATCAAATCTGGACTCTACGACCTAAACCCCGAAGATTATATCGACCACCCTACCCATCATCTGACCCGCTTCAGTTCAACCAATTGCTACAGACCCAACCTTTGCAGAACTGCCTATTTCAGAAGTTCCTTCTTCAACAGAATTGTGCCTCTGTGGAACAACCTTCCTGAAGATCTGAAATCCTCCACCTCTACTGCAACACTCAAATATAAACTGAAGAACTACTACCGGGTCAAACTTGAAACATTCTTTGACGTTGATCGTCCGAGGACATGGAAAACCATTTGTTCTAAATGTCGCTCTTGTTCTATTACTTGTTGTTCATGATAGTTGAGAGCGCTCCAAGCTGTCTTTGCATTTCCAAAATGTCTTTGCTTCAGTCTGTTTGAATAAATTAAATTAAACGCCCAGATAAAAAACACCCGGGCAGTCGATATTCTTGAAATCCTATCTTTGGAAAATGCAGGGACAGCTTGGAGCACATGCATGTTTAGGATGTTTACTGTATTCTGTGACTATGTCTGTGCTGCACAATGTTGACTCATCTATATGTATAAATTTTTTTTTCTAACTTGATCATTTTCCAAACCATATTAACTTTGGAAAGTGTAAAGATGGGTTGGAACGCATTGATCGTGTGTTGTAATTTTGTATTGTAGCTTTGTTAAAGTTGTAACCTGTCTCTATTGTTTTACAATGTCAATGTAATGTGTAGGTAGGACTTGATTTGGGACTCCTCAGTCCTGTTGTCTGTACCTTCAATCGTTTTGTTGATTGTAAAGTTTACATAAAAAAAAAATTTAAAAAAAAAATGTTTATTTCAGAATCCAACTTCTTTATTACTAGTATCTTTGCTAGCAAAGAAGGCATTTGATATTCTTGTTATGCTTGAACATGTCAAGTTGGCTCCAAGTCCTCGGCACATTTCCTTATATAGATGATTATCATGTTCAAGGTCAAGATCACATGGAACATTGTTACCTGCACCACCTCTGTTGTTAACAGATCTATTCCAAGTAAGGTGTTCAGCTTCACAAGGTGTCAAACGTGCATGCAACTGGAACAATTGATACAATGATTCTAGTGCATATTTTGTACTTCCAGAACCATCTTGTTTGTAATGGAGCAAAAACACTTTGATGCACCTGATAATTCGGGGGCCATCCCCTTCTCTAGTGTCATCATTAAAATTACGTAGTAGTAATGCCGTGTTCATCAGGCTACAATGGTAGTTGTATATATCATCATGCATTTCATGTTCATCTTCCTCCTCCTCATGTGCAGAAACTAATATTGGTTCTTGCAAAATTGTAGGAGGTGGATTATGGGACATCTCATGCCTTCTTCTACTTGCACCATCATACACATAACTTATTCACAGCCAGGGTATCTACATGGATATTTGCCATCAGCAGTTAAAGTTTGGCTTCTTTGACATATTTCCCATTTATCCAATGCTGATACATTTTCTTTTTGTGTTTTGTAAACATTTTCATTGATAACAAATGCAGAGAGGAATTGTTTTATTACTTTATGTAGAAACTCTTGCTTAACAGTTGTAGTTGCTTCTTTGATTTCATCTGGTATAGCATTAATGGAAGGTGTATCTTCAACTGTCTTCATGCCAAAGAATTTCATTGCTGCAACAATTATTTGACTATCCAAAACTAGATGTAGAAATCTCTTGCACTGTGCTGGTTTTTTCTCTGCATCACTTAATCACATCACGCCAATTGATTTGATTTCTCAACGCAAACAGTGATGATAGATCACCTGCTGATGCACCACAATAGAACCGATTAAACAGGGGTTTTTTTAAGAAAAATTTAGAACTGCACATTTTATCTTTGCGGCATACCCAATGGCAATGGTTTCAACAAGGTCAATAATGTCGGATCTTGGGTAACAATACAACTGGCAGCTTAAATTTGTAAACTTGTTATTATAAATCATTGATGGAAAGTTATTAAAATATAATAAACAAAATAAATGCCAGTTATTGACAAATACAGTAATTTAATTAGTTTTTGTTAATAATGGTAGATAAAGTACATAAAACTATATAATAGTCAGTTCACTCAACTTAAGACAAGTATTTATAACCCAATAAATCAAGAATGCGAGGCGCCGAAGAAGGTGACATGTGCAAAACGGGTGGAAGCATTGGCCATGGCAGTGCTGATCTGTGGAAACCTTATACTTCTACAGATCGTGAAAAGCACTTAGAAATGGTAGAATCTTACCTTTCAACCCTGCCGAAAAAATTAAGTTATCCAGTCGTTCATAGTGAGAAACTTGCATTTATGGCTGAGAATGGCATACGTCAGTTGGGAAAACCGAGAATCGGGATGTTTGCTGATCGGGTGAAACCTGATCCACTGCACTGTGAAATAAATGCTTGGCAGCATATCTTAGATTTGCTTTATAGTGAGTCGGTTCGTAGGCATGCTTTTGAAAAATTTATTGCAATACTCTCTGCTCCCATTGGCATAAGCACAGCAAATTCCCCTGATGGCGAATCTTCATCTGCAAGCCATTCTTCTGATAATTCTGGCGTAGAAGCTGTAAATGAGGACGAAATTGTATCTATTGAAAAAACTGGTATTATGGGTGCAAGTTGTCAGGAAGAAGGTGAAAGCAAAAAGTCAAGCCTTTCACCAGGGATGATAAGGCAATTTTCTCTTTTGGAAATGAATAAAGAAGTTGCAGCAGAAAATATGACATCTATGTTAGAAAATTCACAATTTACCCTTTCTAGTACAAATTCTGACGTGCATGGATGTGGTCTTTCATATCTGTCAACTAAAGTGAAAGAGCACTATGATGATGAGGCTAAACGTTTTAATAAGCTTAGTGTTAGGCTTGTTGGGGCACAAGCAATTGCTCTTGCAAGACATTGCTACAGGCTTGTGGATGCTCTGCAAACACCAAGTGAAAGTCAGGGTGAGAAATTAAGAAGGCTAGCACTTGGAAAAATAGTAGAGTATTTACGAAATGCTGGAGGGTTGTACAATAAGATTTTTGTGAGCAATCCTGGGGAGATCTCTCAATTGGAGGAATTCTGCCAACTCTATTTTAATCTGCTTGCATTATTCTTTCCAAATAGTGTAAATGTCACTTTTTGGACAATAGCCTATGCTTTGCCTTATCATGCAAAGCAGTTATATGAAAATTATGGAATTGGATTTGGAATACTCTCCTTACAAGCAAAAGAGTCCAAACATGCTGGTCTTAAAGCTGAACTTTTGATGACAAATCGGTCACGAAATAGCGACGGCAAAGGAAAGTGGTGGCAATTAATGCGGGCTAATTACATCAGATCTTTCTATTTGCCAGAGCATCAACCTTCGCCTCCCTCTTATACATCACATTTTAAGTCACACAAACCTCCTCATTGCGAATTTCCAAGGTTTTGTGGTTGTGGGAGGGGAAAAGCTGATGAGGAGCACACACAATGTAAGGTGTGCAGTGAGAGTTATCTTGTTGTAAGCTGTGCACAACAACAGAAGCTTTTGCCTGAAGTTGTTGCTATATTCAAACCATGTGTTTGTACTTCATGTGATGTGCGGTTTGCCGACAAAGCAGGGTTGAAAGTTCATCAACAATCTTTCCATCGCACTACATCAGCCACTGCAGTAAATCCAAAGCAGTCTTTGAGATCTTTGTCTGTTGACAATCTTAGAAGGCTTTTAAGGGAAAAAGGTCTTTCTACCTCTGGCAAGAAGGAAATTTTGTTGAGACGCTTGGAAGGTGCAACCTCAGGGGAATCATGATTTAAATCATTTCTTTGTTACTCCGTATAGTTAGATAGCCATACAATATCTTTTCTCCCAACTTGATCGAGTCTCTTGTCATTTTTCAAAGGTATTGTCTTTCAGTTGAGTTCTTAGGAGTGGTGTTTGCATAGTGTTGCAAAATGTTTTTCTATAGTTAATGTTTTTATATAAATATTTTTGTTATAAATAATAAATAATAAATAGCTTTACTGTAAGTTGTATGAAAATCACAATTTTAGGACGTGATGGTGAAGTTTAAAATATTAGAATATTAATTCTCACATCCAGAGTAGTCCTATTTCAGTACCACCAAGAATTGGCACAAATTGACAAAAAGGTTTCATTTTCATTCAGTTTCAATTTCATAGATTTGGAATAAAAACCTTTAGCTTTTTCAAAATATTCTAATTTTTGAGCTGCACAAACAATTGTATAATTATAAGTGAATCCTGAATGTGATAACAATTAGCAGGCAAAGAAATTCTACAGATTCCTTTTGTTTACTGCTACAAGTGCATATTACCGAGCACAATTTACTGAATCACAGCTGATCAGATAAATATTAAAGATATTTCATCACAAGGTGCATGTAAAAAACGTTTTCCAGTGTCTATTGTGCCAAGTTGTACACTTGTTTTAATCTGATGATAGTAAGTTGATTTGTTATTAAACAACTTTGATCTGTAATTTATGTAGCTCAAAATCAATATTTTATGCTGGGGTCGGTTCTTCGAAAGTCGATCAGCTTTAACCAGAGGCGTGAAATAACAGGCGTGTATAAAGACACAAACCATGAAACCAAACCAGCGATTTAAATTTTAACATGGTTTAGTGCTAAGCCACCATTGAACAACCGGCCCCAGGACTATGGTTAGATGTAACGTTTATAATTATTCATATTACCATTAAATTTTAAATCAACTACTATATACCTGTAAATGCACATATCAATGGTGGAAACAATTTGTAAATAAGAGAGTAAATCAATTATATTCATTTTTCCTACAATTGTACACAGCTATCTTATTATCAATAAACAGAGCTATCTTATTATCTATTGCCTTTTTGTATGAATAACTAATAATTTATACAGCACATATTTGCTAGCCTGCACACAGACTATATACTGTAATGACATATATAGTCTGCACGCAGGCTGTAGATTTGCTGCAAATATAACAACTTTCAAACTTTGCAACCCCCAAACAGTATTCAAATATATAAAGATTTACAATTTATGCCAGCATGTTGTTGTCCTGTTCTATTTTTAATACCACCCAATTCTACTATTATGATTTCACATCCAATACAGCCACCTACATAGCTATTGGTACTGATAAATGCCTATGGCTTGTGCAAGTGAAATTAAAATCTAGTTAAACAGTATGTTTCGTACACAAATATATTTCCTTTGATCCCCAACCTTCATAATATCCTAAGCCGGACATATATGCATTTCCGATTAGGCTTATACTAAGCCCTAATTATATAATCGGAAATGCATATATGTGTGCGAAACATATGGTTATAACCCGAAATCTGAACCTCTTCCTCAATGAAATATACTTGCATATTAAGTATTGGTTGACAGTTCTGAAATATTTTTATACAGAAAAATGTCAAATGATATGGCTTACTCATTGCCACAAATCTATTTAGGTATGGTGAGAAATTTATGTTTTACCCATGAAAGCACATTCCACTCTGGATTTCCCTATTTTGTTATTCAACTTGGTCTAATGCCAGATGATCTTACTTGTTTGATCTTACTTGTTTGATATTATA